CACAACTGTTTTAAATTAAACCATTGAGGTATAGTCTGAAGAAAGTCCCTTTGTATCAAGTATGTTTAAAGCCTAGACGGTCACTATGAAAGGGCGTTACTACGAGGTACTGTTTCAGTTGCTACAAGTCATCGTGACGAGTGGAGCAAACCAACATGAAGTTATTACATGTTCTTTTCTTGGTTTTATCTGCTGTATTCTCTGCAAAAGGTAACTGATTGGCTTTTTCTTTTCTAATTAAAGTACAACCACTGAGGCCTTTAAAAGTGTTATCTTCAGCCAAAAAATATTCCTAACTTAGAATCGTTTTTTCAAAAAATTTTGTACTTTTTCACAGAATAGATTAAACTCTTTTGTATTGAAAAATCCTACTAAATGCTATAATTTACTATAATTTACATTTGTATTTTTTAGGAGTTCAACATGGAACTCTTCGCATCGGCCAGACAAACCCAGACAATTACTACTGTGAGACTATCACCTTCCCAACAACCTTTACTGGAGTTGATCCTGTCAAAGTCTTTACGTCAGTTGGATTTGGCACGAGCTCATCACGTGTACATGACGTAGTGTTCACGTGGGTTGAGTCTGTCACTACAAGCAGTTTTAAAGTCTGTCTGGTAGAGAATGGCGCTGGATCAAGTGGTAATGTGACTATTAATTGGATGGCTTATCAAGGCGTCCAGTCTGGTGTGACGGACGGATCCGTCAAGTTGAACGACTGGACGACGGGAACGGAATGCAAACAAGTTCTTCTTTTGCAGGTAGACTACTATTTTTCTTTCATCTTCTCTCGCGTGTTCATGTCTTTATAATTTGCTCTTGTTTCCTTTCTGCTATTGTTGTGTATTTTTGTTTTGTTTTTGTTTCCATTTTCCTCACATCCATTTGATTCTATTGTCATTTTGCCTAATTTTTATCTTTTTTTAAATATTTTCTTTATAATTTGCCTATTTTCTTGGCAGTTCTTTGTTTTTCTTCTGTTTTTTTTTTTTGTTTGTTTTTTTGTTTGTTTGTTTGTTTGTTTTTGCTAATATTTTTTAATCATCTGCGTTCATTTTCCTTTTATTCGCCTTTCAAAACACAATCACATAACTCAAGCGTTCATTCAAAAAATCCATTCATTTCTTTTACTTTCGCCAGGCCTTCGCAAGTGTTCCCCACGTCTTCGTTACTGCACATCACAATGTGTTGAACAACAAGCATGATGCAGCTACAGTTTGGGTGGAAGGAATCACCAAAAACGATTTCATTGTTTGTATGAGAGAAGCAAGAACCTTTGATGGACGCCATAAGGACATCGATGTGGTACGGTATTGTGGACATCTGTCATTCCACATTAGCAACATAATTTAAAATTGTAATTTTTGAATCATTTAGCTATTTAGCTATTTAGCAATATCAATTTGATGTTATTATAAATTTTTAATGTGTATTATCTGTTGCAGACTTGGATGGCAATGAATGAAGTTCCCCAAACATGGAATTATCATGACTTTATCAGGGTAGACTTTCCAAACACTCTTGTACCAAGCGAGGCTGACAATAATGCGTTTTGCCAGGTATTCTAGCTTATTCCATGATCAAATTAAGGAAATTGATAACAGGGCATGTCGACCATTAAAAGCTAAAAGGACTGTGTCAGATGCAATTCGTTTCATATGTTCACATCAACATTCTTTTAAAGCACCCTCCCATTTTTGTCACTAAGGCAACATGAAGATTTTCAATTTTAGGTCGTGAGCTTCAGCGAGCCGTACTATGCTCCACCGACAATTGTTGTTGCACCAAGTCATCACTATGACAGCAGTAATGYCAATGCCATTCGTCCTGAAGACAACTCCATTGCTGCCTGGGTTGAGGTAAGTTGGTCGACTGGGTACAAAAAACAAAATCAGTTTATGGATTCGCATTAATTGATCGCTATTAGAATAGATATGAAAAAGTTACTGTTTGGATGTTTCTTGGTCGAATTGAATTTCGTCTGCAATCATTCGATAACTAGACTATTGCTTGTTGCAGGAAACTACACGAACACAATTTAAGACATGTGTTAAGGACCTTGTTGGCCTGAAGAACAAACATCACCCTATCGAGGTGGACTATATGGTGTTTGGAGGTAAGAAAGACAGTCATATATATTTGATTTTAAAAAGTACTTTTAAGGTATTTTAGTCAATGATGGATGCACTAGTTTATGCTTTAGTTATTGCAAAGCGCTATCGTTCTTACTTTATTTTAAACTTTAATGGCATTATTTTAGAAATCATTTTAATAATTTAAAAGTTGTTGAAATTGCATTTTATGTTTTTTCATGTTTTTCGTTTTTTATATTATTAGATCTTGATCCATGCATCAACAATACCTGTGAATATTTTGGTGTTTGTCAAGCCATGTCAGCAAGTGTTGCTCAGTGTGTGTGCGTTACCCAGTGTCCATCTTACCAAGATCTCGTGTGTGCTTCCAATGGTCGAACGTTCGATAACATGTGCGCTCTGGAAAGAGAAATCTGTCAAACACAGGGAAACTATTCGTATTACCATCCAGGCAGTTGCCAAGGTAAAAAAGTAATTCCTGATTAAAAGTTCTACTATCGACAACGTTTTTSTTATGATGAATTTTCTTTTCGATGTTAGGTTTTCCTTTCGACAAAGGAACACATCATCTCAGCGATGTTTCAGCCGAGTCTCATTGTGAAGCTGTCTCTCTCCAGCCCTACGCATTCTATCCCGACAAACCCATCCATGTCCAATTAACTGTCAACTACATCAATGCGTCACTTCCGGCTAATGTCCATGACGCAGCAGTCACGTGGTCTGAAAAGGTGAATACAGACAACTTCACTGTGTGTATGACCAAAACYGGAAGAAATGATCAGCCTACCAATGACGTGGCATCGGTTGATTGGATAGCGTATCAGGGTTCACCAAACGGAGCGGTGACTGGRAARRARCGCATTACACAATGGTGGACTGGTACCAAATGTACGACGTTATCATTACCGAGTGTAAGTATTTGAATTATTTGCTCAACTATCTGGGAATTATTGTTCGGACTATGGCATCTTTTACAGCCATATCACATTATATTAAACGACGTGTTCAAAAATTGTTTTGCATGTAGCCTGAATAACACAAATATTATGAACAAAAAATTAAAACAAATATTTTCTTGAATATTATAATAGTATGTTAATTTTAGGGTAAATTCACGGGTACTCCCACGGTACTAGTCACTCTCGAGCACCAGAGAGATGGACTCAAACACGATGCTGCCAGTGTCTGGGTCGAGGACATCAGCTCTTCATCATTTCAAGTTTGTATTAGAGAGCTGCAGAACTTTGACGGAACACATGAAGAAATTGACTTGGTAAGTATAATGCTTTCCTTTACATGAAGTTTACTATTCTTCTATTAGTATTTACAGTACTATGTTTAGTTGTTTATATTTCTATTTATGATTGTAGGATTGGATGGCATTTGAAACGCTTCATCTCCCACTGTTCTCTGAGCACGGCAGTGTTTACTTTGCAAATACCCAAACTCCTCTAAAATCTAACAACTATGCATTCTGTGAGGTAAGGTGTTCATATATTTGTTTGTGTTGGTGAGTTTATTAGAGCAAACGCAGGAAAACCATGAGATATAATCAAACTAAATACTAACAAATAGCGGCTATTTAGAGACAATTTGTCAGTAT